ACAATTACGCTACTCTGATGATGGAAACGAGGAAGTTTCCGAAACGTCAGTTCGAATACAAGATGGTCCATGGATTCGCCCTCTCTTCTTCTTCGTCTTCTTCGGGAGATGATGAACGCGATATATATATATATATATATATATATATATATCACTGTTCACTAAATGCTGCGGCTTGGAGTGTTGCCAACTGGCGTATCAACTCGGACCCCGCAGTTAGTCAACTAATTGACTAAGAGTCAAGCCGCAGTGGTGTGTGGCACGCGCCGATGAGCTGTTTAGCTCTATCAGCCACCGTGTCCGATCCACACATCAGTCGACTGCCCGGCTGGGAGAGTCGACTGGTGCCTGGAAGAGGGAATAAAGCGTGAGATCGACTCGTAACGAATACTCTTTACTATGAGCAATATGACGCGCACGAATATATCCCAGTGCGCTAGCAGCCGCGATTAGGAAAGCTGCTAGCTAATGGAATAGCTGATTCTTCTTCTCACGACGGAGAGACAGGCAGCAATGACTTCTTTACGTTGTCTCTATGGCGCTTCTACTCAGCTGGTATCCGAGCCGTCCTTTGTTGTTCCTGCGGCATTCTGATCCACCATGATCTGCCGTGCGTGGCACGCGCAGTCGGGATGTGTAGCTCTATCAGTCACTATAGTCGATCCCGCCCTCGATCTTCTTGACTCTGCCTTAACTGCGGTTTCAGGTTTGTGAGGGGAATAGAGTGGGGCAAATTTTAAGCAAGTTTACCATTGTTATATGCTAATTTACCCGCAATTCCCTGTCGCTGGGCCTACCCCGGTTTTCGCCACATGGGGGCCTGTCGGAAACGACATTGAGCTGTCAATACTAAATATGCAAAAATAGAAATGAAACAGACAAGGAACACTGTAGACCCACTTTCACCTCGCTTTGTGTCGTAAACAAGACACATTGTAACAACTTGTCGTGACATACTTAGTGCAGCCAGATCCGCGATCCGACCACGCATACGTAAGATTTTTTTAAGCCGCAAAAGCTCATCAAGAATGTCGGGAAGAGTACTTTGAACGCTAACTTACGCGCGACGATGACTGAATTTCAGCTTCACTGTCAAACTCATAATACAGACCCTGTGCGGATAGTCCCTGACTGCAGAAATTAATTTTAATCACTTTTCTGGTGCC